GAAAAATTGCGTCGCTGATGCCTTATCAAAGGCAGAACTTAACGCCGTGGATGACCAATTACGCTGTACATGTAAGAAAATCCTGAATACCTTCAGGTTCCTTTAGTAAGAGCATGTCTTGAGAATAAGCGTGAAACTAACCAAACTTCTATACAAGAGGAAGTAGAACACTCGGATCAGTCATCTTCATACAATCCTTCTAGATCGGGAACGATGAAAAATATTAATTACGAGCACCCTAATAATTTACTTCCTTTTTCAGATAACCCACTGAATTATTTTAAATGTCAATTTGAGTTCAAAATTTTGGATAATTACAAAGTTACCAGAAAGAAGATTTTCAAAATTAGATACAGATTATATGTGACGCTTTCGCCCAATAGTTGACATTCTCAGATATCACAGACACTTATCGAGTATGTCGATCCAAAAAATACATATGGTATCTTCTGTCATAATGAACCCTTGAAACCGATTATCACACAATTGGTACGCTCCCTGTTTGACCCCGAGGTTCATCTAATTTTTACAAATAAACTACTTTTACATGTCTCCGACGAATGGGAACAAACAAGATTAGTCCAAGAATATCACTCAAAAAATCATAACGGAATTCAAGAAACACTAAAGACGTTTCAACTAAGGTACTATTGGCCCAACACGAAAAATTCTATAAACGCATTAATCAATTCCTGCGAGACCTGCAATTTAGCTAAATACGATAGAAATCCTTACAAACCACCGTATGAAGGGCCGCTAACTGCAAAATTCCCGTTCGAAATTATTCACGTTGATACTTTCAAAATTGATAGCAACAAGTTTCCCAATTTTGGATTTATTTTCTAAATATGGTCAGGCCTATCATATTACTGATGAGAATTCAATAACTTTGCTTGAAAAACTACGTAATTTTATCAGCCATCATGGAATTCCTGTAAAAATAACATGTGATAACGGAGCCGGATTCACAGCCAGAACTTTCAAAGAATTCTGCGAGTTACATAAAATCAAAGTCCATTTTACCACTCCTGAGAATCCTTCATCTAATTCTCCCGTTGAGAGGTTCCACAGTACCCTTAAAGAAAAATTAATTGCTTTAAGGCTTCAAAACCAGAGAACAGATATAAAGGAGCTCATGGTGA